AATTTTAAATAAATATGAAATTTGATTGGCTAATAGGGGTGTCAGGTGTGGGTGGGTGGGGGCAGTGTTGTCACTCGGACAACTTAGACAATACTCGGACAGAGTTTGACACTAAATAATACTAAATAAAGCAAGATTTTATTATTGTGACCCACCTTCAATTATTAATTAAAGTTGTTCAGAATTGATTTTTTGCATATATGAGTGTATTTTTAAGATTAGATTTGTAAGCCAGATGAGATTCAGACAGTCCGCCAGACAGTTCAAAAAGGCTCAGACATCTAAAATGTACAACACTGGGTGGGGGTAGCCTATTAGTAAAAATAAATCAGCTAATTTCTAGAAGCCCCCTAATTTAAAAATTATAATATTTTATTTTAGACTAGAAGTTTTATACCACTAGAGCTTTCACTTCACTTAAGCTATCATTAGTACCTTCATTAATACTATAGCTTAAATTATAGTATTATTGGTGCTTTCACTAAATTATTATTTGGTGATTAGTAAATTAGTTTATTTTTATTTTTTCTTTTATGTAAATTTATTGTCTATACTTTGGTTGTTTTTAGTAAGTTGTATATTTTTTAAATACTAAATTATCTGTTAATTACTTTTTTACTATATATTATTTTTATATGCTTAATTCAGATACTATAAATAATACCTACTAAGAAAAATCTGGCATCATAATTTTATTTAATATCTTACTTTTAATTTTAATTGTATATTATATAGATTGCAAATAACAACTCTAATATACACTAGGTGTTTAAATATTTACTAAAAAAGTATAATTAATATATCAGCTACATAAGTAGCTAATATATCAGTTATGCTTTTCTAGTAAATATTTCTTTCATGTGTAGATTTATTGCTCAAACTCTGGCTATTTTTAGTAAGTTATATATTCTTTAAATACTAAATTACCTATTAATTACTTTTTTACTATACTTATTTTTAAATACTTAATTTAAATATTATAAGTAATGCCTACCAAGAAAAAGTTTGTTATTGTGATTTCATTTAATATTTTATTTTTAATTTTGATTGTATATTATATGAATTGCAAGTGACAAGTCTACTATATGTGTCCAAAAATAAGCTATGTTCGAAAATAAGCTACCTCTTCTTTTCTTGAAAAAGAAACATAAGAAAATTTGTTATTTTGAAAATAAGCTACCCCCTGATAATTTTTTAAAATCCGGAAGTAGTTTATATATATAAAAGTCAAAATTCTATTAAGTAAATTGATAAACTAAAGAAAACTCAAAAATTTAACATAAACATAATAAGATAACATCTAAAGTAGTCTTAAGAAAAAAGATCAAGCAAGAAAAATTAACTTGACTTTGATAAAACAACTTTACTTTAAACTGTCTCCTTTTAACAATATATAGAAAAACTTTAACTTTTTGACAAAAATTTTAAAAATTTTACAAAACTTGGGGGATTTGGTTATACTCCTGTCTGCAAATTGCTAGCACAACACAACAAAACAAACAACTCTTTTTGGAAATAAACAAATAACTAAATCGAGACCAATAGCTCTAAATAGTTTTTAAATTATAAATCAACAAAAAACAACAAACAAACACGTTACATAACACATGTCTCAAATATTCGAGAATATTCAAACGAATTTATTTCAACTTACAGAAGCAATAGAGCATTTAGTGATGAAGATGTATTTTTTTAAAGACTTAACAACAGCCTCACAAGAAAGAGTAAAAGAAATCTATACTGATTGAAGAGGAATTATGCTCAAAGCAGATATAAATATAGCAAAGTATCTGGGCTTTAAAGATCCAGAATTTATCGTAATAATCAAAAGTGTAATAGACCGGTATAACTGATTACAATCACAAAAAGATAAAGGTGCATTACTGTTGATAGAAGAACTTATTTTTTTAGGAAAAGTACCAGAAATTTCAACACATACAAAGACAGAAAGAGTAATACAAGTACAAAATGACCAAACTTTCTCTACAGAAATGTGCGTAGATACAGATATAAATGAATTCATACAAAAAGCAGAAAATCTGAAAAGAAAAAAAGAGCAAAATGATAATGTAGAGAAACCAAAACATATAAATAAAGAAGAAAATTTATTAGAATTAGACTAGCAGAGATGAATTTGAATAAAGTATTCTAAAAGAAGATAATATAGCAAATGCAGAGAAGAAAGCAACTCTTCTATATACAGAATGTAGACACATAGATCATGGTACAAAAGAAGTTAAAGAATGGATTACTCTAAGTAAGAAAAAGAAGCTCTTAAGTAAAAATAATAAAAAGGTGTTAGAACAAAAAAAGAAAGAAGATATCAAAAGTTCTATTTGGGCATCAAAATGCAAATCATCACATAACAACATAGTAGTAAATAAAATAGAAAACCACTATAATAGTAAGAAGAAAAAGATTAAATATACATGATGATCTGGGATCTTTCTTTTTCGACAAATACTGCAAGAGTAATCAAATGTTTAAAATATTATAGTGCAACAGAGGTACTCGAATAGCATATATCAAGAAAATCGAAAGCTGTATATGTAAGGATTTCATGTAAAAATGAAGAGAAAAAACAACTACTGCAAAGGATATAGGCACTTCCTTTTGAAAATAGAAAACCAAGTAGATTGTTAATAGAGAAATTTGATGAAAAAAACTAGAAAAGAGGAAAGAATTTAGAATAGGCTTAAAGCAAGTTCCATACTCAGTATGTGAAACAGCTCTACTTCGGCAACTCAAAATTTTTAAAGCCAAAATGGTGTGTATTCCTAGAAATAGAAATGGAAATCGAAGAAGCTCGGCCTTCGTATATTTGCATTTTTAAGAGATTTACAAATAGCTAAAGTCTCAACACTCTATTATTATAATAATATGATGGAATGAGATAAAGAAAAAGGTTATGAAGCAAGAAGGTGTGGCAACTTAATGTAGTGGTCTAGTCATTACCCTCTCCAAGTGGCAGGTCTAGAGTTCAAATCCTACTGGCAATGGTTTTGAAAAATAGGCCTGTGTATGGTTGACAGCTTTCTATTGGTTGGATCTAGATTAATCTGTAATTTTGGTCACACCATTTAGTAATGGAAGCTTTGGTGCAATAAATCCAGAGAACCGGAATAACTGAAACCCCGTTTGGCAAGTTCTGAGTTTGGAAGTAGTAGTGATCTATAACGGTACTACAGAAGGGCTGAATTCAAACCGGGGTCTGAGATTGGAGAACCAAGCGACCAAGTCCTAATAGTGAAGGACATACCAGCCAAACTGCCAGGCTGTTGCACCAAAGAAAAAGAATATACACTCTGAAAGTATAGACCAAGAGGAGGGCGTTCTTAGGCTAGAGATTGAAATCAGTCAAATTTTTTGTGATCGGTCATTAATCGAACATGCGCAAGATAAATCGATTAATGATCGATTATGTGCTTTGATTGGTCAAAAATCGGTTGATTGGTCAAAAATTGTTTGATTGGTTAAAATCATTTGATCGATCATGTATTTTGATTGGTCAATAGTTAGATCAGTCATAATTTATAACTGATCACAATTTCTAGAATGTAGCAGAATAATTATCAAAGTGGTACCGTATATTACCAAATAAAAGCAACCAAAAAATTTCCGATTTTTGCGGGTCAAATTGATAAGGTTGCTTTTATTTGGGTATAAAGACAAAATCGCATCTTTACTCATGTGATTTAAACTGCCAATCAAATCTCAAATCAGATATAGCTTTGATTTGTTGTTAATTATGCATAAAAAAATTTTTAATACCATAGTCAAAAAAAAAAAAAACCTCAACAGGATTTAGTGTTGCTTTTCTTTGGGAACAAAGTTTATTTACATGTGTTCTTGTATACTATCCCTAGTGCAGAATTATTATACCAAATATTATGGAGCGAACTATCATTATCGTTATATTTTGAAGGTTGTATATGAATATGTAAAGAAAAAAATTGGACGTTTATTATCATATTCTGAGATAGGAAATGCTTGTAAAATTTCAGGGGTTTCCGGTTGTATTTGGAAGATAAAAGCATGTTAGTAGGTGCATAATGAAAGAATAAAAAACTTTCAGATATATACTTGCCTTATTTAGAGCAAGTTCTTTTTTACTTGTGCCATTTCAAACATTTACTGGTATATAAAAATTCAAAAAAAAAACTTACCAGTATCATTTTTTTTCAAAAATGACAAAAGAAACTGTAAAAAAGAAAGTTTGCCAGTTCTATACTATTCAAGAAAAGGTGATTGTTGTTCAATATGCCCTTCGTGAAAGTAATACCAAGGCTGCTGCAAAGTTTGGTTTGGATAAGTCTCAAGTTGGCTATTGGGTAACAAAACTAAAGGACCAATTAAATGAGGTTGGCTACAAAAAGTCCTGTTGTCTTAGTGGTAATAGTAGAAAGGAGTTTTTTCCTGAAGAAGAAGCTTGGCTTTATGCCTAGATAGTTGAAATGCGTAATGCAGTACTTGCCATAACCTATAATAGTCTCAAGTTAGAGATGTTAAAAATTGTTTCTGAAACTGCCTCAAAAAGCTATGAACTTGTAAAAAGGCAGCTTGCAAGTAGTTTCAAGACTTCCTCTACATGGTTAGTATGTTTTTTAAAACATCATAAACTTACCCTACGCCGAAAAACAAAAATAGCACAAAAAATGCCAGCAGACCTTAAAGAAAAGTTGTTTAATTTTCAATGGTGTGTAATCCAATTGCGCTATATGAAAAATTATTCTTTGAGCAACATCGTGAACATAGACAAAACCCCTGTCTGGTTCGACATGACTGGTGATCTTGCAGTCGAAGAAATCGGTGCCAAAACAATTCATATTCGCACAACTGGAAATGAAAATAATCATTTTATAGTAGTTTTAACATGCTTCACTAATGGCCAAAAGCTCCCTCCACGATTATATTTAAGGGCAAAAGATGGCCTAAAACTAATAAGTCTTCTTCTCCTCCTGGTGTAATTGTTTCCTTTCATAAGAAAGGTTGGATAGATGAACAGGGTATGTTGACCTGGGTTGATAATTATAGTAGAGACCAGCCAGGTGGTCAGGAAAATAAGCTGTCTCTTCTTGTATTTGATTCATTTAGAGGACATCTTACCGATGCTATTAAGACAAAAGTTAAAGAAAATAATAATGATCTTGTTGTTATTCCTGGTAGTTTAACCTATATATGCCAACCACTTGATGTTTTTATTAATCATCCTTTCAAAGTAGCACTTCGTCGCCACTGGCATGCATGGATGGTAAGTGGTGGTTCTGAAAAAACCAAGAAGGGAAACTTGAAATGTGCAGACCTACGTACTGTATGTGAATGGGTACTTGTATCGTGGTCAGAAATTAGTCCTGAGATTATTCAACGTGCTTTTCACAAATGTTCTATTTCTAATGCCATGGATGGTTCAGAGAATAATGAAATACTGTGATGAAATCTTTGATAATAGAACTTACCAAACCTCTGATGAAATTCACCGTGATGATGATGAAATTTGCCATGATGAAGTTTCTAGTGAAAATATTATTATTATTGATTCTAGTGATGATAAAGACAATAATTCTAATCAGGATATTTTTGTTGGAGAAGACGAAGAAGTTCTTATTTTTACAACAAATCAATAGAAATGTATTATCAGAAGTTTTTTAACAATTTAATAAAACTTAGGCATATAAGTTAGTAATAATCAAATGTAATTTTTTCATCTGATACTATGATTAACTATTACTCATACTTTCCTAATTACCTCATACTTTCGTTTGACCTAATAATCGATCAAACATGTGACTGTAACCATGTTTGATCATTGACTAATTCGAGACAAAAACTGTCTCAGTACACACATATCGTAGTACATAAAAAAATAAACATTGTATACACACACATTATATAATTATTGCATGATTTTATTGGCTATTTATCTCTCATGTAACAGCATTCAAAAACTAGAGTTGCTTATATTTGGTAACCAGTGTTTTTTTTTTTTTTATCATTTTTGGCATTTGAAACCAGGGGGTTGCTTTTATTTGGAGGTTGCTTCTAATTGGTAACATATGGTAAGTAAGTGCTGTAATAGATTTTTTTTTACAGTAAAAACTATGATAATTCTAATACAAACCAATTTGTAGTTATAAGAATAGCAAGCGCTATAAGTTTTGTGACAGAATTTCCAACTCAATTTTAACTATGTAAAAACTATGATAATTCCTCAACAAATTAACTATATATAGTGGACTAGAATAGTAAAGTTCTGTAACAAAATTTTTATAGTAATTCGTCTAACGCAAATAATTTAGTCTTAATTATATAAAAATAATAATAATTTTAATGCAAACTAAAATCCAACCTTTACTGCAAAATATCAGAGTACTCTAATAACTAACTCATCAGAATAGCAAGTAAGTTCTGTGATCGAATTTTTTACAATAAAAATCATAATAATCTGATTCAAACTAACTTAGGCTATTTGAAGTTAATTTTTTGATTAACATCACTTTTCAGAACTCTCAGAGAGGGGGGACAAATGAAATAAATATATAAAACGAACTATTTTTAATGTAGTAAATTTATTATAACAAATTGACTTCAAGTTAAATTTAGTCTAGAGGTTCTAGCTGAGTTGCTACATTACATTCCTGTTATAAAAAAGAGGAGCAAAAATAAATAAATAAATAAATATATATATAATGTATTAATTTGAGAAAAGAACTTTGTATATACAATTTTTATAGCAAAACTACAGATCGGAAATTTTGGGTTTACTAATTCACCCAAGTTCCTATTGGTCGAAAAAATGTAAAAAAGTATTGATTGGTTTGTAATTGTTATTTCCATATGTTTATTTAAATATTTCTTCTTACTCATTAATACTAGTTCTCTGGCTTTTTACAATCGAATAAAAAACATTTTAGAAGCTCTTTTTTTGGCAGTTTTTCTTGAATTGGTACATCACAAACTAAAATAAAATCTACATATACTCTTTAAATATCAATCCTAACCTTAAAAATTAACTCAACTATAATCATATACTGTAATTACTGGTGAGTAAGTTCTGTAACAGAATTGTTTACACCTAAATTAATTTATTTGCATTTCACCAATATTTGTTTATAAACACATTTAATTTACTGACATATTTAGTTCACCATTAATTGCTTTACAGATCTTATTTCATCGACAATATGTAGTATCAACAAGTAATTTACTTTGTTATTGCTTATTATTGGGGTGGTCATTTCCCCAACAGGCCATTTACTTGACATCATTAGGGTTAGATCTGCATTTTTATTAGTTGTAAGTATGTATTAAACTTGTTGTGAAATATATTGTTAGTAAAATGTATTATCAGTGAAATAAGCTTGTTAGTGTAGTTAATCAATTTTTGGTAAGCTAAACATGTTGGTGAATTAGACATGTCGGTCTGTGAAGTAAACTTGTTGGTCAGTATCAATAAAATGATTGTGGTGAAATGCCATATAATTTATATAGTCATTTTTCATTACAACTAATATATTAATTAGAGGCATGAATTTGTAATTTATTATATAGTGTGAATGGTCGGTTTAGGCAAAAATATCTCTATAGAGTTTAGATACCCCAGCATATTTTGATATCAAATTTGTAGAATAAACTGTGTTAATAGTCACCTGATTGAGCAAGAATAAATAAAGCATATTATAATTGAAGCACTCAAACTAATGGTCTGCCTTTTGTTAATTTATTTTTATTTGCTTTAAATAAGCTAGTGTCTTTTTTATAATATGATACAGATAAAAAGTTTGGGTTATGATCATTATAATTGCTCAATAAATTATAATTGATTAAACTAACTTTTTGAAATCAATCATATTAAATTCGAATCTCTAATTGTAATTGATTAAACTTTATGATTGATCATAGCTTTTTGATTGATTATAATCGATCAAAAGGCTATAATTAATTATTGAGTTTAATCGATCAGATTGAAAAAAAAATTCGTAATTGATTATGACTGATTTGACCAAGCAATCGGTCATATCATGTTCGATTTCAATCTCTACTTCAGGCACCCAAAGCCTGGGCAGACCGACCCTTCTGAGTTGTCAGCTAGAAGTAAAAAAGGAACTGATAAAGAATCTGGGTAAGAAGACGGTCTAAATGCAGAGTACTGGGGTTGCTAGAAACCAAAACAAGGGCAAGGAGTACATAATGGGCGTCTAGTTAGAAAGGTTGGTATTTGAGAAATGTCTGTAGAACGGCAGCACCCCAAAAGGTGACGTGAGATACGCATACGGAATGGCAAGTCAATATGTACTAATTAGGAAGAAGTTATAGGAACAAGCATGTGAATACATATATAGAACATGTACTACTATGTTAGGTTTACCTCGAGAATAGACTAGGCCTATATGGGTTAGTAAGTTCTAAAGCAAGATGCGAAAGCCAATGTGGGTAATACCAATATCTACTTAGTTTAGTGAGGAAATCCTCTGGATTAGAGGGCCGATAAAGGTAATTGGAACTAGATAGTTTAAATAAGTACCTCTCTAGTTGAAGTGCAAGTATGGCAGGTAGTGTAGAACCTTCGGGCGAACTACTTAAATTAGACACTCAAAAGGTGCACATGTGGCTTGATATACTATTGTTGTAATTATATATATAACTTCATCTATACTTTAATAAAAAGTTTTCTAGGCCAATAAAGATCACCTTAATATCAAAAAAAAAAAAAAAGTTATAAAGTATTTAAAAGTATATATAACAAAAAAAATTAAACCATTTTTGGTTTTAGAGAAAAGAGTACAAATATTCACAATATTTACTTGAAACAACAAAAGAGCTACAACAACCAAGAGCCCAAAGTAAAGAGAACAAGAAGTAGCTCTAGCAGCTCGAGTAATTTTAGATATAATAATAGAAGTAGATTTAGTTCTAGATTGCATAGTAGTATCAAAAAGCCACTTAATAGAATAGAAAATTTTAATTCGAACAAGCAAAGCCAGTTAGAAAAGGTAATAGCAATGAGCTTAAATAATGTAGAATTAGGAAGAAAAAAAGGCAAACAAGTTGAATTAAAAAAAAAAGATTTTGAAGTAGAAAAAATCTTGGCCAAAATGTAGAAAAAATTTAAAACAATAGTTTCTTTTAGTAAGACACTTCTAATATTTGCTACAGGTGAATCAAAGAGTTTGGAAAAGGCAAATTGCCTCACTAATGCCTTACATATACTCAATATATTAGAAACAAGTAAGAAGAAAGTGAAAAACATTTGCTTTGAGACACTTAAAATAGGCTTTTATAATATCAACAGTTTAAAGACAAATTAGCAAAAGTTACTAGCACTTGCAGACTAGAGAAAAGAAGAAAACTTGAATATTATTAGTATTACAGAAACTAACATAAGCGAAAAGGAAGAAAAGTGAATAAATACAAACTAGCAAGCTTTTGGTTATTCAAAGAGAAGGACAAGAACAAGAGTTTTGGAGTTGGAGTACTAGTTAACAAAAAGTAGTCAAAGTATATAGATAGAGTAGTAAAACATAGCCCGTTTGTAATTAGAATAGAATTTTTTTTTAAAAAAGTAGTATTTCAAGTATAGATACTATATTTACCACTTGCAGATAAAAAGATTAACAAAGAAGTTCAATGAACTTTGATAAGGGAAAAATGTAACAATAAGATCAACACATAAATATGTATATTAGCAAATTTATAAGGCCATAATATTTCGTAATAATTTACGAAACATAAAAAAGCTGTAATATTACGTAAGAAATTTCGAAATATTGCGAAATATCAAATTATGAAATATTACGTAAGATATTTTCGAAATATTTCGAAATATTTTACATAATATTACGGCTTTTTTACATTAAGCAAAAATTTTCGAAATAATTCACATATATGTCACAAACTTATATTTTGGTTTCGTATCACCAACTGACCTCCTATAACCTGAACGCACCTAGTATCACCACCAAAATTATGTATGTACATATGTACGAAGACCTTTATTATCATAATACAAAATATTTTTCTAAACTGAACACACACAACTTTATTCATGTCGAATTACATCGAATATATACAACTTTATTCATGTTGAATTACAAAGCTAAAAAACTGCATTTCAAAATAACAATAAGTCATGTAAATAGATAAAACAAAAACGTGAGAATCAAATTTTAAATGATATTCGCAAGAAAAAGAAAATACTATAAAATCCGAAGAGCTTGAAATATATAGCTTATGAAAAACTTATAGATGTTGAGGGGATGGAATGAAGAAAGTTGGGTACTATCGAAATGGTATAGGAATAAAAAAAAATTTAAAGGAGGCTGAGTATTGGTTTCGAATATAAGCATTTTTGCTGCTCCTTAAGTTATTCTATCTCGGTAAGATTATAAATTTATCTGACATTTTCATTATTAGGTAAATTTAACTGGAAAGTTAAAAATAATTTGTTAATCAAAGTATTCGAAAGCAATGTATGCTCTTCTTACTAGTTTTATTAGTATTTATTTTTTTTTAAAAAAAATATTTATACGTATAGAAATTAATTAGGGTAGCTGCGCAGTGTATGACATGGCGCAGGACCAGCATGATCACCCAACAAGTATGTTCGTGTAAAATAATATGTCAAAAA